TGGAGAGGGAGAGCCTCTTACATGGCCTTGGACCAGGTCCCACAAAGGCATGTCTGGGAGGTGACTGCCACCCGGGCTCCACATGCAAGCACGTGGTGGTGCTGTTCAGTGACACGTTGGTTGAAATCCTGCCATTGTCAGGGCTGGCGTTCGGCACTGGGCGGGAGAATCTAGTTCCCTGCCCTCGGCCTCCTCATCTGTAAGCTGGGGTGATAAGCACAGTAGCGCTGGTCGGTAGGGAATGGGACCACGGAGGGCCGGCTGCGGGTGCAGAGCAAGGCTTGCCTGGTGGGAGCCAACCCCAGGGGTCCAGTGTATTAGGAAGCCGGCCGGAAAGGCCGATGTGGCTCTGCCCCAGAATGGGCTGCCCGCCTCACCGCAGGGAGTGTGAGCTGGGGAGGGGGGACTGGGGAGTGGGTGACAGTGAACCTCAGTTACCTAGTCCTGGGCACAGAGAAAGCTTCCATCCGTGTGTGTCCTTGTCCCTGCCCTGTCCCAGCCTTGAGCACGTCTCCTGCCATAGCCCTACTGAGCAGGAAGGTCCCGTCCCCTACCGCACGCACCCCTTCGCAGACCCCCTGCCTCCCTGCTTCTGCAGCCCCTCGTCTTCGGGTCCTTTGGGACCACGCCCCATTTGGGGACCTCATAAAGGCCCTCTGCTCCCCGGGAGGCGCCAGGGCGGCCGCGCCCCTTCCTCTGAGTGCTTCTCTGCGGGAGCAGGAGGGGCTCGCTCACAGCCCTGCGCTCTTAGCGGTGTGCGGTGGGTGGGTTCGGGGTGACGGTGGTCTGCCTCTCCTGGTCTGCCCAAGCCTCCTGCCTGTTTATCAGATCTGAGCTGCGCTCCCGCCGCAGCCCTTTGCAGGGCTCTGTGCTCCTCTTCTGGAGAAGAGGAAAACAAGGGGACACTCTGGGGTTGGAAGCTGGCTCTGGAGCAGGTGGCAGGGGTCTCACCCGTGGCTGCTCACAGACAGCCCTTCTCTCCCGCCCTCATCCTTGCTCCGCTCCCATAGTCCCTGTAGAGTCCGGAGGCCCGCCAGTGCACGTCAGAGAACCGCTCAGGCGTTGGCTCACCCACGA